ATGAAAAGATTGAGATATGCATATTTGCGAGGTTATGGCTGAATTCACTGGGTGGGACGACAATTCCTGGCATTAGGTTTATTACGATTTGCATGTGAATGAGGTTTATAAGTTTGGGACGCATTTGTTCTGGCAGTCTAAACGGTCGTAGCATGTCATCAGCAAAGCAGCGGTCGCACTGAAGGGGTCCACGCGGATATCGCAAGGATTTAGTACATGCCCCCAGTCGATGTCAATGGCTGGCTGGATTTCCTGGTTGTCAAGACTGCAATGGCTAGGTTATGGTTTCCAGCTGATTGCGACGGGCGGCCGGATGCTCCAGTTCAAAGGCGTCCATTCTGCAGGCAACTGAGTTATATGATCTATCCGGGGTGCTTATTTTGCTGCCATATTGTCTCTGCGACGCCGTCAGAGTGACCCGAGGGCCGCCCGAGGGGCCGCCCGAAATCACGGGCGGCGAACATATCCGTGTCCGCGCCCTTCAGGGAAGCAACGTCCCGGGTCAGTACGGACCTGGGCCCGTCGGGCCTCGCAGGATCCTGCAAGATCCCAGCAGGATCCTGCAGGACCCTGCGCGCTCACCCAGGTCAGTGCACCCCTACCTCTGCATGGTCATGCAGAACTCCCGTTTGCGTTGACCCCCGTCTCAAGGTTCCCGACGTGTCTAGAGAGGCCCCGGGGCACACAAATCCGCCGACCCTGCCGCCGTGTGGACCCCCTGCCGGCGTGCGCTCCGTCGACGCATCTGTTGTCCTCTTTCCCTGCGTCTCCGTCGTCCCCTTTCCCTGCACCCTCCTCTTCAAGCCTGCCAGCGAGAGAAAACCGTAGCAACGTCGCACGCAAGTCTCGGGGGCGGCCAAGAGGGGGGTGTCCAAGAGGGGGGGGTGCAAATCATGACCGGCGGCATGTGCGCGGCCCAGCGGGGGGGCCAGGGACGTAATGAAATAAAAACAGGCGCCATGAAACCTGGGGAAACATCATGGCCCCCGCAGTGATATCCATCCCCCCTGGTCATCACACCCCCCTCTCTACCGCCCCCGAGAAGACGAAGGGAAGCCCCCTCGCCGAGGGGGGGGGGAGGGGATCCCGGGGGGATTTCCCGGCGGGTCCCGGGGGGGTCCCCGGGAGGTCGGGGGGGGTTCCAATGGGTGGGGGGGAAAATACGCATCCGCCCCTGGGCGTCCCGGGGCCCCAAAAAGCGCCAGGACGCGCCAAGAGGGCCCCAAGGAGAGAAGTAGGCCCAAGAGGAGGACCACGAACCCGCATGCCGAGCTTCCCGCGTCCACCTTTCTCCCCCTCCTCCTTCTCCTCGTATTCGTATTCGTCGTCGTCGTCTTCAAGGTCGGCGGTACGGGCCGTAAGGCCTTAGCAATACATACGCACAAATCCCAGGATTCCCTGTGTTGTTTCCCATATTTCGTGGACTTTCGTCTCCCCCCTCATTTCCTATATTTTCACATATTTTCCTGGGCATCGACGATTAATTGTGTCTGTGTGTTTCTCTCCCTCTGGAGTGTCCCCGTGCCTGGACTCCGGGGCGCGAGCCCGCGGATACGCGGTCGCACAGACACGTTCCGCACGGGGCACCCGCTTGGGACGCCCGAAATGGGCACGGAAAAGATGGGCACCATGCCCAACAACACGTGTTGTCCCAAACCAGCAGCGGCCGCTGTGGGGCAGGCGGCCTTTCGTCTCGAGTGGAGGCAGGCCGCGGCGGCGCGGACAGCGAGTCCTGTTCAAAGAGAGCAAGCACTGCTGCTGGGCATTGTACCCATCTCTTTTAAAAGAACAATTGAGCAGGGACCGACCGTCCCGGCATTCCTATAGGCCTACCACGACATGTTCTTCGAACCCAGAAATGTTCCAAGAACAGAAACGACGTTCTCGGAAGATAGGCCCGATGTGTTAACACAAGACGGTCCCACCCAGACGTGTTCTACGGACATTTCGTGCACACCACACAAGGTTCTTAGATCGGCGGTGGACAGACCTCCCTTTATAGTCCCCTTCGTGACAACGGCCTGGGACCGAAACCGATGGACCCGGACCCGCAAACATAACGGCCGCGACGCCCCCTCGCGAACCGAAAACGGCCAATTCCTGAATCGACGTGTCAGTGCAGGAGGCTTGTCCACCCCCGCTTAGAACTCGGGAGCGGCCAAGAGGGGGGTCTCCAAGAGGGGGGGTGCAAATCATGACCGGCGGCATGTGCGCGGCCCAGCGGGGGGGCCAGGGACGTAATGAAACCAGAAGGCGCCATGAAACCTGAGGAAAACTCATGGCCCCCGCCATGATATCCCCCCCCCCCCCAGTCGTCACCCCCCTCTTTTCCGCCCCCGAGATCAAAGCAGTCTCGTTGGCAGGCCCGCGGGCGAGCCGGGACGCCTCGCCGCGGCCTGCTCCTCCCTCTCCGTGCCCGCGCCGCGCGCGTCCTGACCCGCCGCGCGCGACGACCGCCCCGCACCCCACGAGGCCTTGGCCCCGGGGGCACGGCCAAGTCGGGCCTGTCCCTCTAACAGGGGGCCTCTGGACGAGAGATAAACAACAGACAGGGAGGTCTAAAAGAACAAGGAACTTTAAACATCAGGAATTTAGAATTCTGGACGAAAGACAGATAAAACATGCAGGGAGGTTTTAACAAAAAACAATTTCTTAAACATAAGGAATTTCGAATTCTAGGTTGCCCCGTAATTAGCGATTTGCCGCCCCGAGACAAGGCGGACCACAAGACCAGGAATCCAAAGGACACTGCCCCCACAAAATGCGAACCACATAGCCCCCAGACCATCTTTTGTCCATCTCTGAGCCCTCCTCCTGCAGAGGATCGGGTCGGGCGAAAGGGGGGGATAGCAAAGGGGGGGTTTGAGAATCAGCTCACGTAGCTGATTTTTCCGGCGCCTCCCGGCGCCGAAGGCGGCTATTTATCGAGGAATGGGCCCCTCGGTGAGGCCGAAACCAGCTGCATGCAGCAAATTTCGTAACCCCCCCTTTCCCAATCCCCCCCTTTCGCCCGGCCCGAGAGGAGGGCCCGGCCCGACTCCACGCGAGGAGCCGCGCGCCCGTGGGGGTGCGGCGGCTCGCGGCGTGCCCCCGCCCCTCGGCACGAACGGGGCCGCCCCGGGCGGCCGCCCACGGGGGGGGCCCGCCGCCGCAGGCACGCCGAGGGCCGGCCGCCCGGAGGGGCCGTGCGCGCGGCTCCGCCGACGGCGACGACGGCGACGACGACGACGACGACGACGACGACGACGACGACGACGGCGACGACGACGGCGACGACGACGGCGACGACGACGACGACGACGACGGCGACGACGTCGCGCGGGGTGGGCGGCCGTCCTGCCCTCGGCGTGGGGCACGTCGGAGCGTTGACCTAAGGAACCCTGAAGAAGGAACGAGGCCCCTATTTTCCACAAGTTGAACTTCGACTTCGCATCGAAAACCTGAGGAACATCCGAGGCAAGCTGCGAAACAATTAAGGAACACGGAGCCCCTCTCCAACGAAAAGGGTTACTTCTTCAGGGCCCCGACCGTATCTCCGGGGGGGCTCGGCTGCTCTCAAGTCGGGCCTTGAGCAGGGACCGACCGTCCCGGCATTCCTAATAGTCCAACCACGGAATGTTCTTATAGAACCCCAAAATGTCCCAAGGACAAGTTAACACAAGGTTCTCAGAACATAACCCCCATGTGGTAAAACAAGACAATATCCGCCAGAAATGTTCTAAGAACATTTCGTGAAAACCACAAAAGGTTTTTATAACAGTGTTTGGTAGGGCTATAGGCGAGCCAGGACGCTTCGCCACTGCTTGAGGGCATGTCCCCCTACAGGGGGATTTTGAACGAAAAATGAAACATACCCTAAACAATACTCCGAAAGGGGTCAACAATGCTAAACAAAATAGTCCCGGGCCAATTTTTTTGGGGGGCTATTTTTGAATATTCCTTCTGAGGAACAGGCCCGACTTCATGCTCTTTCCATCGTGCTGAAAGGCCCACATCCCAGAAAAGATCTCGAGCACCCAGAAAGGTGTCGAACGAGTGTCGAAACAGTGTCGAATGAGCGTCTCCCACGCGAGAGACCTCCAATTTCGGTACTGTCTTGGTGCTCGAAGTTCTTTCTGGTGGGCAAGGCTGAAGTAGGTTGGAGCATATAATCCGGGGGCACCTTCTGACCAGAACCTCGAAGCGAATCCAGCCGTGGTGCGCAGGACCTCCCAGGAGTCCCACGAGAAGTGGAACAAACGAGGGAAGGGCAGAGCTATAGGGGCAATTTGCCCTCCTCGAGACGAGGGGCCGCCCGAAGGGTCACTGCACCGACCTTGCAGACGTCCTGCAGCGGATTTTCGCGTGGATTTCTGCCAATGCACAACCCCGAACTGGCGAGTGAAAAACGTAGTGAACTTCGCGTGGACGTTTGCTAGTCTTCACTCCGGGCCAACAAAAAGAGAAACCCGCACGACCTTCACCTCGAAACCCCGCACGAAACTCTCCAGGACACTCCGGGCCCATCCTATCATGTCCCGAACGAATCGGGCGTTGGCAGAACTGGGTTTAGTGAAACCTGGTTTAGTGATCTGTACTGGGGGCGCCCCCCGTCCCACTTCCACTAACCGGAACTACCGTCACCCGAAAAAACACAAGCTATGGCAAACCTGGTTTAGTGATTCTGGCAAATTCGAAGGCTCCGTGGCCCTACCACTAACCGGCTCCCCTTGACTGGGGTCCTTTACCAGCCTGGAACATATCCCTATCCCTATGCTGGGCACCTCCTCATCACGATGCCAATCTTAGGGATTCCCTAAGATTGTCATCGCCATTCGGCGTGTCAATCTTAGGGATAGGGATACGTTCGAGGCTGGTAAGTCCTGGCCATACCCGATCGCAATCCGCTCAGCGATGCTGACGCGATGCGAAGAGGGCTGGCCGCGGCAGACCGCCGGCTCGCAGCGGGGCCTGCATCTGCAGCAGCAGCGGCGCCGCGCCCGCCGCGGGCGCGCCACCGCCCGCCCAGAGCCCCGGCGGGCCGCCGCCGGCCGCGCCGGCGCCGACCGGCAGCCCGGAGGCCCCCAGCGCCGCGGCGGTCAGCTGGCGCACGACCTGAGGCGAGGCCAGGGACAGGGTCGATGACCGACGAGACCACGACCTGGGACGAGGCCGACGAACGTCGACCACTGCGTCGACGTCGGCAACGTCCATCTCGGCGTCGGCGCAGGACAGCGAACGTCGTCGTCGTCGACGTCGTGCGGCGGCCGCAAACATCCAACGAAGCGTCAGTGTTCGATGCGCGGCCCCAGGAGGTTCCGACCTAAGACGAAGCCAGGACGAGGATAACATCGGGTGAGGATGAATCGAGAATCTATGAAATCCGACGGCTCTGGAGGATGTCTCGGGCGCCGCGGCCTTCTTGGTGGGTAGGGGGAGGGCGGAAGGCTTCTAAGGAGGCTGTGACTTAGAGGCGCGGGCCTTACATCTATAGATAAGGCGCGCGCATTCTAAGAATCCTCCTGTCCTGATTTTGTTCTACGACGCGAGCATCTGTCAGACGAAGCCAGGACGAAGACAAATGGGGTGAGGATAATTCGAGAGCGTCTGAGATCCAGTGGCTCTGGAGGATGTCTCGGGCGCCGCGGCCTTCTCGGAACGGTGTTATCCTCGTCCCAGCCCCGCCCGACGACCCCCGTCGGCGCCCAGGCCGAGTGTATCGAAACAGACAACACGGAGGTCTTCGTTGCAGTTTTCGGCCTCTTAGGGCCCTCGATGGGTCCCAGATCTCCCAAACAAGTATTGAAACACTCGGCGCGGAAATACTCTGCATGTTTCGGCCCCTCGGGGCCCTCGCGGGGCCCCGGGACCATCACAGTACGACTTGGGGTGAAAAGCTGGCTCTGGGCAAATTATCGGGACATCTGGGGACCCCGTATGGAACAAACCAAGACTAGAGCAGTGAGCGACTGTCCCGGCATCTCCAGAGGCCAACCACGACATGTTCTCAGGACCCATCAGTGATCTAAGAACAAATGCAACGCTCTTAGAACATAAACCCGATGTGTTAAAACAAAACAGACTCAACCAAACATGTTCTACGAACATGTTGTGTCAACCACACATGTATCGTGGGGTTCTGGATTTCTTCCCACCCGCGTCGCACCCGCGTCTTCCACACCTCTCGCCTCCCCCTTTCTCCTCCTCCTCGTTCTTGTTCCCTTCACCCACACGCAACATATGGACTACACGTGCATCAGACACGCGTCTACATGCAGCCGCACGCATGCACACACCCGCACACATAACATCCACCATATAACGCTAGTGCACGCGTGGCGTGTTCATAGATAGCATCATACACCCAAGACGTATGCACAACATATTGGGCACCCACATGAGGCACATGTCCAGATACGGCCGACACGCATCATACTCATACACATCACACACCATAACAAATCGCACGTGTAGGATGCGCAGGACACGGCAGGCATGGCACTTTCTCGACACCAGAGGGGGTCCGTTGGGGGTGGTCCCTGCACGCAGTGTATGTCTACGACACTGTCGTAAAACTTAGCACGCGTGGCATGTTCGACACCATCGGGGGTGCGCACGAGGTGGTCCTTGAGCGTGGCCGCTATCCGTGCCGGTCGTCCAGGGCGTAACAGGCGTGGCACTTTCCCAACACCATGGGGGGTGCGCACGGGTTGGTCCCTGAGCGCGGCCGCTATCCGTGCCGGTCGTCCAGGGCATAGCGATAGTGGCACTTTCTGGACACCATCAGGGGGTGCGCAGGAGGTGGTCCCTGAGCGCGGCCGCTATCCGTGCCGGTCGTCCAGGGCATTGCGGGAGTGGCATTTTCTCGACACCATCGGGGGTGCGCAGGAGGTGGTTCCTCAGCGCGGTCGCTATCCGTGCCGGTCGTCCAGGGCATAGCAGGAGTGGTACTTTCCCGACACCATAAGGGTGCGCAAGGGGTGGTCCCTGAACGCGGTCACTATCCGTGCTGGTTGTCCAAGACGCTGCTGTCCGTGACAGTCGTCCAGGACATATCAAGCATGGCATATTCTCGACACCACAAGGGGTGCGCACGGGGTGGTCCTTGAGCGCGGCCTCTATCCGTGACGGTGGTGCTCAGGGCACATCGGTACGCAAGATTGCTATCCGTGCCGGCCGTGCTCAGGGCACAGGGGAACGCTGGCGAGGTGAGTGATACTATCATCGAGAATGTGTAGCCACCTTGGCTCATGCGGGCTCAGCCCGTTCGGGTTTGCACGCAGGCGTGCTCGCGCCGGTGATTGTTCGTCAAAGGTGCGGCGCCCGTCATGGCGCCCAAATGTGCCATGTCCACGCTGCCGCCCCCGTGCGAGCAGCTCCAGAAATCAATGCTCGAGATGGGCGCCGAAGTGAGTTTAGATGGTTTACGCGCACATGTTGAGAGGCATGGGAATTTGCTTACCAGCGACAGCGTCTAAACTGGTGGCCCGAGACGCTCCTCACCAGGTACAATGATTTGCCGCGTCAACGAGGCGCCGACGATGCCAGGAGACAGCGTTCGGTGAGGTATTTGCTGCGCCCTTCTTCGGGCGGGTTTCCGAGAGACGTTTCTTCCAATTTGCCCGGGGGGGAGCTGGCGGACGGCTGTCCGCCGCCACCGAAGGTTCGGCGAATGCAGGAGGCTGGCATCGCGGGCGCTGACCCGGCACAGTCCTCAGGACAAGATGCCACTCCTACGAATACCAGGCCTGCGAAGGCCACGCCAACGAAGGCTCCGCCCACGCAGGCCTTCACCCCTCAGCGGTCTCCAGCTGTTCTGCTGGCCACCTCTGTTCGTTCCACCAAAAGGGGGTGCGCAGGAAATGCCCACCAACATCATTTTCACATGCTTCACTTCAGCTATCATCTCTCCAGCCACACTATAAGTATATGGGGGGTCCTCGGTAGCTTAATTCGAGCATTGTTTGGTAGGCCTACAGGCGAGCCAGGACGCTTCGCCACTGCTTGAAAGACATCGCATGCCTGGGTCGGCGTCGGCATCTTCGGCGGAGTCGGTCGTCGGCGTTGGAGTCCTCGCCACCGACGCCGCGGCCGTTGTCGTTTTGGGCGTCCCAGGGGGGGAGGGGCGGGAGGGAGGAGGGGCGGAGGATGAGGAGAGGAGGCGAGATCTGGGGAGATGGAGGGAGGAAGGAGAAGCCGAGCAGATCAGTTAAAATGAAGTTCGTAGAGTCCAGCGCTGAATAAGCGCGAGACGAACGAACTGATTGCTCGCATGTATCTGAGCTGGGCCACTCCAGAATGCCGCAGTCACACAGCGGAGTCTCACCTGAGGATCGCTTCACCGATCCCCATCCCCAGCGCTGTGGCCTGGGCCCCACGGGTCGATCTACCCCCCCCAGATGGGGATATGGGTCGTCCCCTTCGGGCTGCCAGGGCTGTATCCCCGACTAGGGGGGGTAATTTGGTTGGGGGTCTCGAAGGAGATGGGGATGGGGATGGGGATCGGACGAACGATACTGACACGCCCACAGGCATGAAGTCGGGCGCGTCCGCCTACAGGAGGATCTTCGACGAAAAATCAGAAACTACTCAACAAAAATAGTCCCCAGACTACTGTTTGACTGTTTTTGAATACAGTCGGGGCGTTGACCCAAGAAACCCTAAACAAGGGACGAGGCCCCTTTTTTCCATACGCTGCACTTCGATTTCCCAGCGAAAACATGAGGAAGACCTGAGGCAAGCTGTGAAACACCCAAGGAACGCGGAGCCCCTCCCCAACGAAAAGGGTTCCTTCTTCAGGGCCCCGACTGTATCCCCCCTGTAGAGGGGCATGCCCGACGTCACACGGGCGGGCGCGTGCGATGCGTCGTCGCCCCCAGAGGGCGTGCAGGCCGCCTCGGGGTGTGCGTCTCCCTACAGTCAGGGGGATCCTCGACGAAAAATGAAAAAATGCTCCACATATTAGTCCCCAGACTAGTGTATCGTTTGACTGCTTTTTTGAATACTCCCCCCTGTAAGGGGACAGGCCCGACGTCACACGGGCGGGCACGTGCGATGCGTCGTCGCCCCCTAAAACAGGGCCAGGATCGGGATGAATCGCTCCAGAGCGTTCCGGAGCGCTCTCAGAGCGCTCTCAGAACGCTCTGGAGCGGCCGCGGCGCCCAATACATATTCCAAACCCGCCGATTCTTAGAGATTTCGAGTTATCCCGATCCGACGTTGTCCCGATCTTCGCGTCGTTGTACATATGTCCCAGTATCTTCTGTGGGGTCGACGACGAACTGTGTCTGTGTGCTTTTGTTCCCCTCCTCCTCCTCCTCCTCCTCCTCCTCCTCCTCCTCCTCCTCCTCCTCCTCCTCCCGATCCGATTTTGTCCCGATCTTCGCGTCGTTTTACCCCCAGAGGGCGTGCAGGCCTGCTCGGGGGCCGCGAGGGGCCACGGGCCGGCTCTCCGTCGCTGCCCCTCCCGTCGACCGTGGACGCCCCGGCCCGCCCGTCTGGCGGCATGCTGTGGAGCGCCTCCCGCATCCTCGGTGTACCCCTCGTCCTCATCGGGGGCGGCCAAGAGGGGGGTGTCCAAGGAGGGGGTGGCGCAGATCATGATATGGGGGGGCCCCCCTAGTTTCATCACCCCCCTCTTTGCCGCCCTCGTCCTCCAGGCCCCCCAGAAACCTGATTGTAGCGAGCCACCGGGACCTCCGAGACCCGTGAGCCGCCTCCTGTGCGTTTCCCTTCCTCCTCCGCCACATGTGCCAAGCCATATGCTTGTGTGATCTGTGGATCACCTCCCGCATCCTCGGCACTCGAAGAAAAAATACTATATATGCAGGGCAGTTTTTTTTTAACATAGCATTTTCAAAAGATAGGATCTTGAATCCAGGATTCACGTATGACTAATGTTGTGCATGAGCTCATCGTTGCTTTTAACACTACATCCCTGCATGTTTTTAAATACATGATCCGCGCGCGGAGCATGTATTGACAACGGCACTGTACACCGATTCTGGCCAGGCCCATCCTGAGCCCAAGATCGGTGCATACGCCCTCCTGCCTTGGCCAGGAAGGCATCTGCACCGATCCTGGGTCAAGGACGGGCCTTGCCAGGATCGGTGTGC